GTCACAATCTCCCCCACCCCATGATGTGACGACCGCGACGCATTGCTGCAAGAACTCCTGAATTTTGTCTTTAAACTGCCACAGGTCTTCGTACTTCTCCCAAGTGGCTTCTTCCGGAGTTTGTCCCTTCCAATGTACGAGAAACATGGCACTGGCCTGCTGTCCTCGTTTCCGCTTGGCTTGGTAATCTATGATAGCTTCAATTTCACGATCATGCGAGGCAGTAACGGTGATTGGGGCCCGTTGTGATTTGTTTCGGCTGGGATCGTCCTTGTCCTCATGATAAGGCTTAAGGACGCTTGCATGAAAGACCGGGTGGATCTTGAAGTGTGGAGGTAACTCCAACCTGTATGAAATCTTACCCACCTTGGCAACAATTTTGAACGGACCCTCATATTTACGCACCAGATTGTGATGCATGCCTCTAAGTGCCTTAAACTGCCTCGGATTAAACTTTACCAAAACCATATCACCTTCTTTGTAATTGGTGGGACGACGCTTGCGGTCGGCGAACTTCTTCATCCTGCTTGCCGCCTTGCTCAAATAAGATTTGGCAAGGTCGAGTTGCTCTTCCCAACCCTTGGCAAGGTTGTAAGCGCCCAAACTCTTCCCCTCGAACAAGGTTGGCAGTGAATGCGGAGTTTGGGGTTGCTGGCCTGTTGCTAACTCGAACGGTGTGCGCCCCGTAAATTCACTCATCTGCAAATTGTAAGAAAATTGCGCCATGTCTAGGAGCTTAGCCCAATCTTTCTGATGTGCACTGACATAGTGCCTAAGATAGCATTCCAACAAGGCGTTGACGCGTTCAGTTTGGCCATCAGTTTGGGGGTGGAAACTGGTGGAGAAATGAAGTTTTGAACCAAGAATCTCGAAGAGTTCACTCCAAAAGTTCCCTGTGAAACGAGGATCCCAATCGCTAATGATGAACCTCGGCAGCCCCCAATACTTCACAACATTTTTAAAGAACAATTGTGCAGCTTCCTTAGCAGTACAACCGGCTGTGGCAGGCATGAATGTAGCATATTTGGAAAATCTATCCACTACGACCATAATAGTGCCAAACCCGTTTGACTTCGGCAAAGAAGTGATGAAATCCATAGATATACTCTCCCATGGACGATCAGCAATGGGTAATGGCTCCAACAGCCCTCCTGGTTGCCTTTGCTCTACCTTGTCTTGCTGGCACACTAGACAAGTCTGCACGTACTGCTCGATCTCTTCCCGCATACGTGGCCAGAAATAGAAGGTCTCCACTAATGCCCTCGTTCTCTTCTGTCCCGGATGCCCAGCCCACGGAGTGTCGTGGCTCTCCTTGATAATACGCTGCCTGATGAATCCAAACTTTGGTACATAAATCCTCCGGCCAGTGGTAAGCAAGAATCCGTCTTCTACCCAAAACCGTTTGGTTTGGCCTTGAGCAGCCAGCTGCATAATCTTCTTGGCTTTCGGATCGCGTAGCATACCATCTTTGATTGCGCCTTGGAACTCACTACGGACTGAGGAGATGGCCGCTAATTCAGTCTTTCTGCTCAATGCATCGGCTACCACATTGCCCCTTCCTGGTTTGTACTCCAAGTTGTAGTCGAATTCCGCTAAGAAATCCTGCCAACGAGCTTGCTTTGGAGTGATTTTCTTCTGTGACTGAAAATAGCTAGTGGCAACATTGTCAATTTTCACTACAAATTTGGAGCCTAGTAGATAATGCCTCCATGTGCGTAGACAATGCACAATGGCCGTCATCTCCTTCTCCTGCACAGTGTACCGTCGTTCCGCTTCATTCAGCTTCCGGCTTTCAAAAGCTATGGGGTGCTTCTCCTGCATTAAGACTCCCCCAATGGCAAAATCAGAAGCATCCGTATGGATTTCGAAGGTCTTGGTGAAATCAGGCAGCATCAAGACTGGTTCCTTAGTAACTGCAGCCTTTAGACCTTCAAACGCTTCTTCGCACTCCTCGCTCCACAGCCAAGGCCTGTTCTTCTTCAGCAGCTCGGTCAGTGGGGCAGCAATGGCGGAATACCCGCTGATGAACCTGCGATAATAATTAGCAAGTCCAAGAAAAGAACGTAGCTCGGTCATTTTCGTAGGCGCTTCCCAATCTTGGATCGCCTTTACCTTTGTCTCGTCCATACGAAGCTCACCTTGGCTGATCACATGGCCCAAGAAATGTATCTTTGGTTGGGCGAACTCGCACTTCTCCCGCTTGACATAGAGCTGATTTTCCCGCAAGACTTTGAAGACCTTCTTCAAGTGCTCTACATGCTCCTGCAAAGTGCTACTATAGACGACTATGTCATCTAAGTACACCACTACGAACTGGTCCAAGTAGGGGTGCAAAATCTCGTTCATCAGCGTGCAAAATGTGGCAGGTGCGTTGGTTAAGCCGAAGGGCATCACGAACCATTCGAATGCTCCATACCTGGTCACGCATGCTGTCTTTGGCTCATCCCCTTCTGCAATGCGCACTTGATAGTAGCCTTTCCGGAGATCCATCTTGGTAAAATACTTAGCTTCTCCAAGTCGATCAAACAAGTCTGCGATTAGCGGGATTAGATACTTGTTCCGAATTGTGATCTTGTTGAGCGCCCTGTAATCAATGCATAGACGCATCGACCCATCTTTCTTCTTCTGAAACAGCACCGGCGCTCCATAAGGTGCCTTGGATGGATGAATGTGACCTGCTTCGAGGAGCTCTTTCAATTGCTTCCTCAGTTCTTCTAACTCAGGCAGAGCCATGCGATAAGGTGCAAGCGCAAGTGGCTTGGCTCCCGCCTCCAACTCGATCATGTGGTCTACCTCGCGCCTTGGAGGTAGAGTTTTCGGCAGCTCTTCCGGCATCACATTCCTGTTTTCCTGCAAAATAGATTTATGATAGGTGGCAATGGCTGCATAGCACCATGGTCTTCACTCGAACTTGCGATGGTGGCTAAGAAGGTTGGCGCTCCTTTCTTCAGGCCCTTCACAATTTGCATGGCCGACGGTTGGGCATATCCGTCTTTCTTCGGCACCCTAACAAGAGGCACTATACAAGACCCTTCCCCCTCCATCACCATGAGTTGTTGAAGGTAGGGATCAATCATTGTGTGGCAGCGTTGAAAGAATTCCTGCCCAAGGATGACATCGGATATGTCCAAAGGAGCTACAGTAAAGTTTGTCTTACCTTTCCACCGTCCTAAAGTGATGCTGACCCTATGAGCAATTCCACACACGGGAGTTGGTGGGGCGTTGACCGTCTTGAGGCGATTGTTGCTTGGAACAATTTTCAGTCTCAATTTCTCTGCTGCCGCCTTGGTCATGATGTTAGCTTCAGCCCCGGAATCTACCATGGCCCGAACTGCTTGCCCATTGATGGAGATATCCACATATTGTGTGCTGAAATCCCCCGGGTTATCAGCCTGCTTTGCTATGGCACCACAGATTCCAACCATGCTCAACTGATTGGTGTCTGCCGGTTTCGCCTTGTCTTGTGCCTCCTTTTCCTTCCGCTCACGGACGATGGCACTAAGACTCTTCATCTCTGAGCACCTGGCGTAACCGTGTGGTCCGCCACATATGTAGCACCCGTCTCCTCTGCTGGACTGCGTCCGCTTCTCCGAGAATTTCTGGCGTTCAAACCATCTGCCATCGGACTTGGGTGTGTCTTGCTGCTTGGGTTGTGCCGACTGTTCTCTGCCTCGGCCACGGTCTCCCCCACCTTTAGCTTGACTGCCCCTTGACTCCTTGCCCTTTGCCTTGTCCAAACGATCATATTTGAAATCTGTCAAGGTCTCGGCTTGAGTGATGGCCTCATCGATGGTTTTTACTTGACGCCGCTCTAACTCAGTCCTCGCCCAATTCTGCAGCCCGTCCATGAAGGTGAACAGCATGTCATCCTCCGTGAGTTGGGGAATCTGGAGGGTCAAGATTGTGAACTCTTTCACATAGGCCCTAATACTTCCCATCTGCTTCAACTCCCGGAGCTTGCGTTTCATTTCATAAACAGCATTGTTGGGGAAGAAAGCTTTCTTGAATTCCTCAAGGAATTGTTCCCATGTGTTGATCTTGTTTGCATCGCTCCTGACCCTATTACACCTGAAATAATTTTCCAAGTGCCAAAGGAAATTGCCTACCTCTAGGGCGTCACGGACACCCTTGAATGTTGGTGGCTTGGGAACCTCGACTCTGGACTCCCTTTCCTGGCCAAGTGATGTTGTTGCTCCAACCTCCCTCTCTACCTTGAGGGCCTCAACCTTGTTCTTCAGCGTCTGGATCATCGTAAGGGCATCCATAAACCTGAACTCCAAGGAAGTAATGGTTTCCTTCATCGCTAATTCAGACCGCTTGCGTAGATCCAACTCCTTCCGAATGACTTCAACTTCCTCAAGGGAGTTCTCTTCAAGGTCTTTGACATCGCTGTCCAACCCATTTAAGCGCTGGCCTAAAATCTCAACAGCTAGCCTTGCCCTTTCAACGCTGGCAAGCCATTCATGTCCTACAGTGACGTCGACAGTTTCTTCGCTGTCATCGCCGTCACTCTCATCGACAACATTATGCTGGAAAGACGTTTGTCCGTCGCTTGGTGGAGGAACATTTGATGGTAACTCACCTGTTAGAAGATCGCCTGGTGGCAGACTGCCTGATGACTGGCCGCCTGGTAGCAGATTGCCTGATGGCTGGCCGCCTGGTAGCAGACTGCCTGATGGCTGGTCGCTTGGTGGCAGACTGCCTGATGGCTGACCACCTGGTGGAGGATCAGTGGGTGGAAGATTGGGCAGAACAGGAAGATTGAGTTCGTTGCCCTTCTTGTTCTTTCCCTTCTTGTTCTTCTTTCCCATCTGAACGTTGGGGGTGTTGCTAGCGCTGCTTCCGTCTCCTTCGTTCGTCATTCACTTACGATGAACCTGCTCTGATACCAATTGTCACGGAACATTGTCCGAATCAAAAAGTCTGTGACACTAAGCTTATTATTATTATTATTATTATTATTATTATTATTTATTAGTGCAGAAAAAGATATACCCTCAAACTATAATATATGGTATGCAATATCCTCCATCATACTTTTGAGATATTAGTGCATTTGCCGTCAATAAACTAAAACATGTATGTCTTTCATTCTAACGAAAGATTAAACAGGGACACATTTATCTGACGATCCCATATGTATTGACTTTAATAACTGTCAGGTCAATAGATAAAATTTTAACATGTGCATATTATTAGTATGACATGTATATATGCTCTAATTTTTGGACTGCATGACCATTAATATCCCAAAACTATGACAGAGGGTATCAATATACTATTTATGATAATAATGTGAAATATCTTGTCCTTTTTCCCTTTATTAATTACTTAGGTCAAAATACACGCACCATCCCACATTGCCATTCAAAATATAAAAAACAAAATGGTACATTTTGCTAATTAATTCTTTTATGTTCCCTTTAATGACTCTTTGATTAAGCCATTGACAAGTCTTTAATTAATGAACAAAACTTTTGAGTCATCAAAACTAATACTTAGCTTGTTATTGTGACAAAGACTAAACTCTGAATGGAGCAAATGGACCAATAGAAGCTTAAAACTTGAAGTAGACTCTTGAAAAATAATATTTCCTTGTAATGCAATTAAGGGACCCATCTAGAATAAAGTTGCTCTCAACTTTAAAATTATTATTTCATCATTAATACCAAGTCCCCTAGTGTAACAATTATGCTAACTATTTCAGGAAAAACAATATTCCAATTTCAATAATTCAAGATGTACTTGCAAGTTATTTGCTTCTTTTTTTATTAACATACTCCAAAATGTAATTTTATTCAGAGTAACTCAAATAACAAGTCACGGTGTTGTATATTTACTATTTGAGAACACCACAAGAATATCATTTATGTACCTGTAAAAATCATGTTAGACGTTTCATTTTCTATGGATTTTGTTAATTGTTCTAAACTATTAATGCCCTTTTATAATTTTCTTGTTATTATACTATGAATAATAGATTAAATTTCAAAAATTCGTAAGGCTTACGAGTTACGCCCTGCACCAAGTAAAAAACCATGCCTCAAACATTGATACTAACAAATCAGAATTCTATCACCTCTCCTACTGCACTCTAAAAATCACAACCATGTTAAAACTTGAATTTTCAATGGCCGTAGACGCTAATCTTTAGGTGCATATGTAGTAGCTTGCAAACCACAGGTAAAAGTAACCCGCACTAGACAAGCCCACGGCTCCTATGAATTTTCATTGGCTTTGTAAAATCTTGGATGAATTGTGTCACAAAATCCATGCAACAACACAGTGAAAGCTTAATTCCCCAAGGACAAAGATTACCCTATCAAAGCCCGTCTTTTTTGTTTTCCCAAATTCTGCAATTTTCTAACAAATAAATAACTTGAAGAATAAGGGATGTCAATTTAGGGAAAGAAATGAGATAATAAAGAAGAGGGGGTCATAGAAAGTGTAGAAAGTACAAGTGATTGGTAGAGTAGCAACTTCTTCTACAAGGAGAGAGGTATGATAGAGACATAACACCAAGTGAAAAAATTGTGAAAGTAATAAATTGTAATGAAATGAATGCATGATATCGTCTACAAGGCATATAGCAAATGTTTATAAGGATAGTGACCCTAACTTCACCCTTTGTCTAAGCAAACTAACACCCCTTTTCTCTTAGTGTGTGTCTCTCTTATTTCTCACCCCCCATTCATTTTTACCTACCATGAACATCATCTACTCCCTCTTTTCATCATGGGATGGCTTCAATCCCTCTTCTCTCCATTGAAGAAGCTTTGGTTTCGTCTTCACTCTGCTCCGAAGAAGAGTATGTTTTCTATTACTTCTAGTTATATTGTCTCCACTTTTATGTAGTGAAGTTTTCTTTTGTCAAAGATTTCGTATGTATACATAGATAACTAACTCTCATTTACCTGAAGGATCCAGAATCTAGATGTTGTGAGTTTTGGGGTGTGTTAGTCCATCCGTACAAGTCGACAGAAACATTAAATTCTGTCGACTATAGGAACTCATTGTAAGATCAGCCACTGCTCCTTCAATGGCAAAAGCTCACATCTATAGCATCAACATTTCCTTCTTGAATCAATGTCAACCCTATTTTGATAGCTGAAATTTAACCGTTCTTGAACTGGAATAGTTTAATTAGCCATATCGCTTTAATTGCTTAGGGGAATCAGCCTTCTTCAATTGAAGCCTTTTCCATTCTTTTACTAACTAATTATGTATCGTATTCCATCCATCCCACAATAGAGAATCAATGATGAGTTGATTCCTTTGCATACCTACATGTTTTCTTTTACAAAACTCTAGTCTTGCTCAAGAAAAATGCAAACTTCCACTTGTATATTCTTCAGCTATTGATCTACAAAAATGTAACTTTTTTGCTTGTACTAAACTTACTTATTCTTGATGTTTCAGGAAGAGGGATATATATACTCTACGAGGATGTTAAATCTTGCCCTTGTGAAGATGTTCAAGTGCTTTGGTCCATACTAGTGGAGTCTCATCCACATTCTTTGCCACCACGAAAATGAGGGACTTATGGGAGGGGAGATTTAATTTACAGTCACATGTACATATATATCACACCACTTTTGTCCCAACCTAGGTTTTCTTTGTTCAAATTTTCTATCTTTTGTGAGTGAGGTCCATCTGAAAAGTTTTTAAGTTATTGAAACTTGTGTCTTTCTCTTTATTTTAGTTGTACATTCTTCAAGATGTGGTAAATATTTATAAGTAACTTTTATTGATAAGGAAGAAAAAGAAATCATACATAATGCAATTGCAATATTACATGCTCATAAGAGAATCAAAAGTACCTATTCCAAGAGGATAGAAAAGTTATTTTAAAGTAAAGTCTCATTATCTTATTTTCTATTTGTTGCCCTGTCAGTTTCAACAGTTAATGAGTCGACATACTTACTAGTATTATTAAATAAAGTTGACTTAAGGGCTAAAGTAAGAATATTAGATTGAGATGTGATTGCCATTTCGACATACTTCTTCATACTTTTGACTTAACAATTATACTCTATTGACTAAGGACAAGTCTGTAACCACCAAACAGGTTTATCATTAAACAATAAACACATGGTAAGCCACACCATTTATTATTTGATTCCAGATTTGATCTCCTTAAAAACAGGCAACTTCTATTTACTTCTCCCTTACATATGAAACTTAAAAACAGGGCTACATTACTTACTTAATGATCTTAGTAAATGTCTATGAAACATCATAGAGGATATCTTGCAGAAAATGAAAAAAAGATACATCTGATTCTAACCAGGGAGAGGATGCCCACATTGTAATGACATGCAAATGCACAATTCCATTCCATGCAAAATCATTAAGGTCTCTACAAACTTTTTGTAATTGTTGAGGAAACGTTTCATCGCTAAAACTTTTCATCTGGGAAATTGATCAATGATAACCTACATAATAATAGAGCAAGTTCAGACACAGATTAACCACAATGAAGAATATAATCACCAGAAATGAAGACGAAAAATAATCGAAACGATGAAAAACAGTTTCTTTTCATTTCGGAGGAGTATATAAGTAAGATAGTACGATGATTATAAATTTTTAATTAGTGAAAGGTATTTTATTGATGTGCAGCGAAGTGCTACAAGTGTATACAGGGGGGATAGCCACACTACAAGAAAATAAGAAACAAGCTCAAAAAATCAACCATGTCTTTTGTGTCATTTGCAATTGCCAAGGTACACCACAAAAACAAAAGAGAAATGCATCCATACTTGATGTTAATTACTTCTTTCCTCCTGCTTTCAGATATTCAGTTCCCTGCAAATGAATCACAACGATCATAACTTTGTCCCACTTAGTCAAACTTTACGGCAAAATCAAACTCATAGAAACACCAGCTTCAGTAGCCAATTGAATATTATTGTTAAGATAAAAACGGATGATATAACAACTAGCCTTAGGGTAACATCAGAATTTGATTTCACTAGGAGGACCAACTTACAGCACTACAAAGCAGAGGAAGGATGATGATCAACAACACCGGGCAGCCAATTCCGAAAGAATGAAACAGCATCTAGCTCTGCTGGAGACAAGCCGCCAAGGGGTGTGACAGTAATCTGTGATAAATGACCGTGAAAAATAACAATCATAGGTCTTTCTCATTGAAAAACTAACAACCATATAAAACAATAGTACATACGTATCCTTCTTGGAGAGAACAGTAGTCTGTATCACCATTCCCCACTAGAACTCTTGTAACCTAGAAAGGCAAGAGTAATACCAACAAATTACTCCATTAAAACCTGTATAAATTACTTCTATAATTTTTATTTAACTCTCAAAGAAGTAGGAAAAACGAAAATCCGGTGTCATACAAAAACAGAGTAGAATCATTCAAAGGGATATTTTAGTGAAGTTACTATTTGCAAAGGTTGTCTGGTTATTTTAGTAAGGAACAGTTGCCTGGTTTCATAAACACTTGTCTTGTATTTGTTGTAAAGGGCCCCATGGGGAGGGGAGGGGGGGGGAGGGAGGGGAATCTGAGAGATTAAGGATACAGCAATTGAGCAAGCACCTATTGTGAAAGGGATCATACTCGTCTCTTAAACAGTAGATGATCCAATGGTGCATTTTTTAAGGCTTTAGCATGTGTACTCTCTGATGAATTCGTCTCCATAGTCATTGTGGACAAAACGTTTCCTCCTTCTCTATCAGAAGTAACTTGCCTCCATCCCATTTTCACAAAACTTTTTCCTTGTCGGGTTAGACGGTATCCCTACGAAAACCAAGATAAACCTTTTGATGAAATGGTTAATGGTCACTGATACTCAAGTTTGATGATAATAAAGAATTCAAGTTTGATGATCTACCTTTCATCAAAGGAAAACTCAAGTAAAAATAGACAAGTGTTCAAAAGTAAGTTGAGCCAGGCACATTATGATGGCTTGCAAGTTTGTCTTATAACTTGTACATCGAACAAGGAAAACCACAACCCTAGGGAAGCTATTTATTTACAAGTACAATTTAATAGAAATGTATAGCAAATAAAGACAACAATGAAGAGACTACTATTCCATTTTTGTTTATACAGAGGAGACATTTGGTGCAGTTTGTTCAAAACTACCTTGTCAATCCTTAACTACTTCATTTATACAGAGACACGCTTCAGTGACCTGAAATGACTCATCTAGCCAAGCTTCAGCTGTCAATAGAAATCTCAATGAAACAAGAGTCCAACAGTGAGTGAATGAAGCCAAAAAAACCTGACTGCTGACAGGGCCACAAAGAGATTACATAAATGAAAAGAACATCAAGGTGAAGACCAACTTTTACATGATACTTTTGCCAATTGTGAAGAAAGAAGTAAATCCCAAGATCTACGTTTACATTAAAGTTCCCTTTTCTAGGTGATTGTCTATCCTAAATAACAAAATCAAGCTAGCATAAAATTTACCTTGTGATTGACGACATCTGTTGGCACATCAATATTGAGAAAGCAATTCTTGGGATAGTGTTTTGTCTTGATTTCAGCCAATATAGCACTGATGATGGGTAAGCAAGCCTTAGCAGCCAGTGTGAAGTCATTAACATTGCTTTTTCCACGAATCCTGAATTTAGCAATCCCAAGGAATAAGGAACAAGGAACAAAGAACAAAACAATGATGCACCAAACAATTGTAGAATTTCTGGAGCATCACCAATGCTTACCAATTATATGATACAGACACAGCAGGAATACCATTGAAGAAAGCCTCCCTAGCGCCAGCCACTGTACCCGAGTATACTCTGAAAGGGCACAAACTAATTCACACGTAAGCAACCACAAAATTACATGGTTGTAATATTAGGAAAGTAGCCATAGTTGCTGCTATTCTGTGGGGAATCCCAATATATGTCCTTGATGTTCAGAGTTTCTTTTGATGATAATGGCTCTTTATCAATTCTATGTGATCTGAGGTTTGCTTTTTGACATTCAGTATTGGAAATGGCTCTGTCCCTATTTATCCAAGGCAGAATTTTAACATTTCATGTTAAGACTCAGATTATAATATTAAGATGAAGTTTAAGAAGCTAAAATTCACAGCAACTTTATTAGATTAAGATACTCTAATTTATTCAGCATTTATATTTTTGGACTAGTCACTGCTCCTCAGGTATTAAACTTCCTGTCCCTAAGTCAGGTCTGTACCAAAACTCCAGAAGAGCAAAAGAAAGAAAATGAAACTATTTCGTATGAGCCGTTTAAGTAATCAAACCGAATTCACTCAGCTGATGGAGACTCGCCATCTAGGACAATCAATATATTTTATTTGTAAAATTCGTTTACATTTAACATTTTGACTTCGCTTGAGTTTTAATCATAAAATTAAATTAACTTGAATAAAACATTATTCTTCAATTTTTACATTTAGGAATCATCTAAAAAGCAACAAAATAATGCAGGCTGACTGTGGATTCATTTGACCCATATATATATATATAGATAGATAGATAGATAGCTAGATAGATAGATAATGTGCTCAGTTTTTAAAATAATTATTGTTGGTTGGTACAATTCAAAGTTAAAGTTCTTGTGAATAATTTAGAGATGAGAAGAATTATTAGACCAAAGGTGAAAAACACAAACTCAGAGAACATAGGATGATAAAAGTCGTCTTATTTAAAGTTAATACCTCAAAAAAACATAGACTATCCACATTTTGCTTGTAAACTATGGCGTGTTGATGTTACCTCCTGAACTTTAACATTTTTTATCTAAGAAAAACCTGCAGTGCAAGTGGCATTGAGAGTGGTCTCACTCTCTTTATAGAGTGTGAGACCTGAATAATAGGTCAAAAAGAGCATCTAATGAAGGAAATCTACTAACATGTGATAGCCGCAGTTGTCACCCATGTTAACACCACTGATAACCTGAAACCACAAATTAAGATTATTGCTAGTGTGTTCTAACCAATAACTTCTAATTATGCAACGTCCCAAGGAATTGTCACCTAAAGCCTGCATAGATAAATTAGTAATCGAGATATAAGGGAGATAAAAAACTTGAAGTATTGGGAATTTGGAAAATCTCCCTGTAAGGTGCCAATAACTGAACTCTAAGATGTCATGACGAGGAAAACGGAAGCAATAACTTAAAAGGGCATATTAAAGATACAAGCTAAGGGAAAGAGAGTTTTATGTGTATGTCTGGACACATATTACTGATGTTCTTCTTTTTTCCAAAGAGAAATATAATTAGAAGACTTGTGAGTAGAAGGATTATCTTAGTTTAGAAAAGTTAATCTACCAGATCAGGTACTGAAGGGAAAAGAGCTTTAGAGATTCCCAGGGAAGTACAGTCTGCTGGAGTTCCTGTAAGAAAGAAAAGAAAAAGGAAAAGGAAAGGGAGGTCATCATTCACATCTTCTTCTATTACTTCAAATCAGGGATCTTGAAGGATGACACCTTAAGCAATATCATGCTCTCAGTTGAATTTGGTTGACCATTTCTAGTCCACTATCACATGACAGATTCCTGTTGAAGAAAGGTTCTAAGAGGACTTGTCAGAGAAGCTCTACTGTCTAAAATCTATATTACAACTTTCCTGAATTAGATTTCTCTGTCTAAAGTCAAAAGGTTACATTCATCAGTGTAACATCTATTCTAATAGAAAATAAATAGAATGCCAAATTATGTGGCATAATATCATAAAACCTCATTTATTTCAGAAAGAAAAGATTTCTCATAATTCATATATAAAGCCAGTAAGATCTCTTCATATATTTGTCACTTCAATTCCATAATTGTTTGGTATAGAGGTACAGTACTTGTTTCGTTCAATCCTGAGGACCAACATGCCATAGCAGTAAATAAAACAGAAGGCTGTGACACTATAACATTAGAGTTAATAATCCAATAAACTTAAAGTCAAGTACTCTAGGTCAGTCCAGAAATCTAAATTAGTAATTTGTTGAAGATAACAACCAACCTGAAACTGCAAATGCTGTTGCTCCGCTGATGTCAACTTGCTTAACAGAAAGGGCATTACGCCAAGTAATGCTATGACTAACAGCTGACTTTTCACTGGAAGTAGTAATAAGCACATTAGAAATAGCATGTCGTGATTACTTAATTCAAAATTGTGTGTGTGCAAGCAACAGATTTGGCGACAAATTACAAACTATAAGAATAAGTAATCAACTAACAGTCAGTCAAAACTCCCAACTTTAAGATTACCAACAGTGTATCTGGACATAAAGCATCTCATGCTTCATCACTATAACTTAACAGTATGATAACTTCAACATCCTTCTTTCAATTAAGGAATGTTCCAAAACTACGATCAATAAAACCATTATACATCACAATTCCACATTGAGCAATTTTAGACAACAGAAACTAATATTTGTTTGCACTCTTCCCCTTTAACCATAAAAAAGAAGCGCCACAGACATACATCTTTAGATCAATATCTACATACCTACTCCTATGCACACCTCAAATATCATGCTATGTCATCATGCTAAAACACTAAATTTGGGATGGAGTAGTAGAACTCCCTACACGCCAATAGAAGTTCGAATTCCCTAATACACTCTTCAAATTTGAGAGTTACCTAGTTTAACTGTCCATACCGCCCAGAAAAGGACTGGATCATAGAGACAAATTTGCACTATGGAGCAAACCGAACTAAGAAAGTAAACTTAAGCTCAACACAATATTTCAAACCTCTGAAGTTTCCACATTTAAATAGCTAAAAACAGTATCAACAGGTGCAATTAGATGCAGAAGACTGAACATGTGTGTGAGAGAGAGATCATACGAGTCAGGAGCACAAACGAGGACGTGAAAGCGATTGGTGGAAACAAGCAGACTAACTAGAGCTCTCAATCCCGGCGCATCGATTCCATCGTCGTTCGTCACTAACATCGTCGGCCGATCGCCGGCGACGAAATTAGCCTCCATTTCGCTTCCCGAAGTATTCGGTTCAGTTGAAATGCAACTTTTTAATTATTTTTTTTCTCTTCTATATAACCGTCTGCAAAAGGCATATTTACTTAAATAGCCTCTTATCGATAATGATTATATTTTGGTCCATTTTGGAATACAAATATATTAGTTTGAGTAACTAACTATTTAATTCGATTCGATGTATTTATATATGAGCTTATAACTACTCCCTACTAGATTTAAAGAATAGGATTTAAGAAAAGAAATAAAGTTGATTCGTGCTTTAAAATGCTTTTATACTTTTATTGAATTTATAAATATAATCACTTTTAATAATTTTCATCTCTTTTTTTTATTTTTTTGACTTTTTTCGAGAAGCATGATAAAATTAGAATAAAATTTATCTCATAAAGTATTCTATTGATTTTTTACGGTTATACAATGTGAAGATATTCTACAAATCAATCATAGAAAATTTATATCAGTCATAGCAACAATTTTAACATTTTGAGATAGTTTACCAATACAGGCTATGTTTTAAACATCACCACTGAAAGTGGCTATCTGATGTCAATATACATGAAGAGACTACCTTTGTGAAGGCCCAATGAAGCAAAGATGGGGAAGGCCCAAAAGTGAAATTTGGTTTTTCTTTCTTTTCAATTTTAATTTGTTTCGACTTTTATACAACAACCTAGTTATTATAATTTCACGAGTGATTTTAGAGAGGATGATGTTTCATGTTTCTTTGTCCCTACCTTGTTAGTTTTTAGGATAAAAAAAATAATTTAACTGACTCAAGTAGAGGATATCCAAAATAGTTTTTTTTTTTAAATAACGATATTAAGAAATTATCTAGGAAATAATGGGAAAAAATTAATAGTAACGACAAATACTACGATAAGATTACTAAGAAAAGAAAATATCATGAACTAATTTATTCACTTTAGCCGTTTTCAGTTAATTAGATGGAATATTTAATTTATTAATTTAATACTAATTTAACCTATATACTCTAATCGTAGTAATATTAGTAAAGTTAATGGTTGAAAATTAGTTAATTACAAAAAAGATTAAAACAAATTTTATCTTGATCTTGTAAACGCAAAAATAATTTGGGATAACCTTTACAATATGGTGGACAACAAATATGAAAATTGGGACGAAAAAAATACTTGTTAATTTACAAATTAAAATAAATTTGTAAAGTTTCAAAAAAAAAATGATATATTAGTAAAATTATTATTTATTCACAATTTTTTGAGGATAAACAGAAAAGTAGACTATTAATATGAGACGGGAATATGGTCTTGCCATGTGATTAATCAAGTTTGAAGTCACCAATATTACAATAAACAATTAAACACATAATGATGTCGTACGGATGAACACTAAGTACGGATTTGACCTTAATTAGCATATATACATAAATATAAAACACTTTGATAAGTTCTAGATAAACACACCATGTCATGATTAAGTATAACATATGTCACGGATCCATGTTTCTAAACACACTTTTATTGTTAATATTATAACATATATGAAAGTGTTTGATTTGAGATCGTGATAATTTTTTTAAAATATTTTTTTTAAAAATTTTGTGTCAAGTTAAAATAAAATAAATAAATTAAATAAAAAGAAAAAAGTTTTAAACTTTATCTAAATAGCAATTATTTTGAGATTCTTTCGATTTGATTTGTTGTGTTAATTAAAATTAACATACATTACATAATTCATCAAAAGAACTCGTTTGCTTATAAAAATATCCTCCAGTCTTAATAGTTTAAGGAGGTATTTCAGGTATATTTTTGTCATTTTCATTAGTAGCTTCAAGTTCGAATATAAGACATATGTTAGTTCATAAAATGATTAATTAATGAACATATTATAATTTTTTTCACCTAGTTAATCACGTTCACAAGTCAAGATCATATGCTTCGAATAGACTCAATTGATGAGTCATAAAATTGATGGGATATATAGTACTATTTTATGGTATAGTTTTAGGTAGACATTATGTTGAAACTATTACAACTACCTTTTAACAACACTCATTTAAATGATATCGCATTCGGATAATATTATTAAAAAAGATTACCTAATGTAATTGATATGCTTCATAATTCTATTTTATTATAGGGAATACTTTTTAAATAAAAAAATTAGAGAGATAATAATAGAGCGGATGATGAGATGATAGGGATGCGGAGGTAATTAACATCACTTATTTTTTTATCTTTCGTCATAAAAGTCATTTTTCGTTGAAATTTTTTTTTCAATAGTTTGATCGATCGTCTTGACTATTTTTATGTAAAAACATGGGGTCATGTTCGTTACATTTGCTCCATATCTACATGCCAAACCCCATGTGTAATGCTTCTATAAATAAAATACATTTTTTTAGTCGAAAGGTAATAATTTTATCTTCAAGTACTTATGAGTACCTAGTAGGCTAGTACTTATGCTTATGGTGGAAAATTAATAATTTATAGCGTACCTAAAATTAGGTATAATATTTATTGAAGGATTTTGTGAGGTTCGTTTTAATTATGATGAATTAGGGTTGCCCATTTAGTCTACTAATTTATAGGCATGATGATATTGGTGTTATGAAACCGACTATATTTTATAAAATATCTCAGTTGATACGATATTATTTTAATTTGACAAGTGAAACACAATTTTTATGGTTATCGAAGGGATACAAATTAAAAATCAATAAGTTTGAGGGGCAAAAAATAAAAATTAGTACTCCAAAATAAAGATATCAGTGTGAATGAGCCAATTAAAAAACGTTCAGGAATTGTTATAGGATTCACAAAAAAAATAAATTAGAATGACTGATTTTAACTGAAACAAAAAACTCTTACCTTATGCATAGCTAAAAAGTCGTTATGTGATTTAGGGGTTTGGTCTATCTTAAGCATTAAAAACTATTTCTTTTCACGACTTTTAAATATATTTTAACACAATTAAAATCATAGAATTAACAATAATTTATATTTGCTAGATTAACCTATTTATCGATTAATAAAAAATTGTAATATCTAACCTAATAAATCTATTTATTGGTATCACCATGAATCATAATTGTATAAAATTTCACCCACCCCTAAAATTATGACAACATATACTTAAATATTATGTCACTTCACATCTTAAAAGGCAAAAAAATCACAAACTTCTTTTTTGGTTAAATAATTGTAAAAACAAACTTGGTGGTATATGGGGTTCAATGTATCCTACCTCCCAAACCACCACACAATATGAGATAGGAATTAAAATGAAAACATTTATAATCACTAACAAAAAGTATCACTTCCAATTTGTTTTCTAGTTTCTATTATTCATTTATTTATTTATTTTTAATATATGTATGGTGATTTGTTTGATTAATAGTTATTTTTGTATCAACAATAAATTTGTAGTGTCCTTTGCAAAAAAGTACTTGTCCGTATTGAAAAGCACTACTTTTTTTTAAAAAAAAATAATAATTTAAATAAGTACTTGATTATTATTTTAGACATTTGCAACCCCACATACTTTTCTTTGAATTTTACAGTCAAAGACAAGTACTTGAAACTGTTTTTCAGGAAAACAATTTGTAGTAAAACGTATGAAAATGTCAATGATTCATTTGTGCAAAATTCATGATATTTCTTTTCTAATTGAGAAAAAAGAATACGTAAAAAAAATTTGAGTTGGAAATCTAAATAAGCCAAAAAAAATATTAAAAGTAACGAAAATAAGTCACTATTTAGAAAGTAACTAAAGTTGGCTTAGTGAAAGAAAAAATTACACTTTATCCAATATTCCAAACGTTTTCCGTTAGTCCATAATGGGTATATTTTAATATAGAACGGAACTATTTCTTACACTTTGTAAAATGTAACTTTTTTCTTACACTTTATAAAGTGGAATTTTTTCTTACACTTTATAAAGTGGAAGAAAAACTTACATTTTACAAAGAGGAATATTTTCATGTTTTGCTCTCCTTATGATGCTTTTGTAGTGTTTGTCATACAATTATATTGATTTGACATATCATAAAAAATAAAAAAATTATTACACTATGCATTTTTATTTTTTTTAATTTTGAAAGTCCATCCAAGCTCTATTTAAGGACATTCAACATGTTTAATCTTTTATTATTCTTCATTTCAATCACAAAATAATGTCTTCTTAATCAAAAGTTAGAGTTTCAATTTATTTGGATGACAAAATTATACATGATGAAAATACTGTTTATTATAATCGACCTTTCAAACACAATGCTAAATATTTAAGGGAAAATACCCAAGTACCCCCTCAACCTATGCTCGAAATCCCAGAGACACACTTATACTATATTAAGGTCCTATTACCCCCTGAACTTATTTTATATGTAATTTTCTACCCCTTTTTAGCCTACGTGGCACTAGTTCGAAAAAAAAGTCAACCATCGTTGGGCCCACAATAAAATAAGTTCAGGGGGGTGATAGGACCTTAGTATAGTATAAGTGTGTCTCTGAGATTTCGAGCATAGGTTGAGGGGGTACTTGGACATTATCCCAATATTTAATTAATATCCGATATTATATATTTCTTTCACCAATTTATAGAAGAATGGGGTATAAATAGTATTATTATGATTATAGTAGGAAAATACCTACTTTATTTTTATCACAAGAACAAGTAAATTTTGGAGAGTGAATTATCTATAATGATGAATCGTTGACCGACTTTCTAAGGGTTTCAGATGATTACATAGATCAAATCAAGTTAACAATAATTGAAATCTAAGTTAGAAAGGAGCCTAAAACTAGCCAACAATGTTCTCCTTTATCGGTCGATGTTCATCCCCAATTAGAAAATCATAATAGCATTGATGGATTTTCGATAACTCAATCTACTGATTTTTCTAACATAGCTCATTAACAAAATATTCTTACCGTTCGATATGATTTTGATTTAAACGAAACTATCAGTGAAAGTGACTAGTAATGCTCAATAATTATATTTCGATTGTTATTTGTTCATTTTGAATTATTTATTAATTATATAATTTTTTTAATTATTATT